CCTTCACACCACCTAACACCACCATGCAAAAACACATCCAAAAGACTTGCAGGGACTGCAAAAGCGTGAATGCTGTTTTTACTAAATATAATTTCCCTACAGTGGCATCACTATAAATAGTGTATATCCTGGGTTGTGCTTTATATTTGATGGCACTATTTTAAATGGGCACCCTAGGCCAATGATGGCAAACTTTTTTGAGCTCGAGTACCCAAACTGCATCTAAAAACCAACATATTTATCTGAAAGTATTAACTGTGCAATTGAACACAAAAACAGAGGTCAGACTGAGCATGATGTGTGTGGTAGGTGTAGGCTATTTTTCTTGGTCGTACAGTGAGGGTTAATGATTCATTTGTGGTCCAATAGGGTTAATAATAAATCCCTGGTGGTCCTGTGGGGTCAGTAACAAATCCTTGTTAGTCCAGTGGTCTTTTCCTGGTGGTTGGGTGGTGGAGTACGTGTTCTACACCTCCACCTGGTGCAGACCACATTAATTGCTCCTTGTGGTCAGGCATTTAATGAGGAAGTAAGAGTGTAGGCTGAAATCCCAGGGGCTGGCATCTGAATCCCTCTCTGTGAGTCCACAGGGAGCAATTATTTTGGCGTGCACCATGCAGAGGTGCAGATCATGCACTCCACCACCTGACCAGCAAGGAATGATTCTTTATATATTATATTATATTGCCTATCCAGCAATGTATTAAATAGAAATTGCTCTATTGATGGTGGGGCGACAGTATTTTTAGAGACTTTCCCCCCATGCCAGTGTCCACTAAGGTAGCACCAGCATTGAGTACCCACAACATGGCAAATATTTTGTTTGTGTAATAGCAGAGGCCTCTGTGTGCCCATTGTGGCACACATGCTATAGTTCGTCATCGTTGCCATATACTGTAGATGACAAAAAATACACAAAGCTTAAAAAGAATAATAATAAAGAAACACTTTAAGTTACTGTTATTGCTTCAAGACCCTAGACCGTGAAGTGGCTGAAACCTCTCGTTCGGTCTCAGCTAACTGCACTAGTTAAGAGAAGTCACAGAGAGGATTCTATTACATTATTACATTGTAGCATTGTTTTCAAACTGTTTGGCACTTAACTGCGTCTCTTGGGCACCATCTGTCCGTCCTCCTCTTCTGAGATTGCTAATTTGTTAATTATTTTTTTCAGGCTACCCCATCAGTTATGATAATTACATTACTGTTACAATCCCACTGGCCTCCATTATGTTTTCTTAAATATGGAAACTTGGAGTGTCCCTTTAAACGTCTTAGAATCATTCAAAATGTGGCACAGAAGATAATGCTTGGGTATGTGACCTTTTTAGGAAGTACTTGGCATAAAAAGGAAGTGTTTTCTTTCCCCTTATCATAAAACAGAAAAAGGGAATACGTAAAGAAATGTAATATATTGGGATCTGGCTATATTAATTTTTTTTCAGAGAGTCTGGGACAGGCAGGGAGGGGAGGGAGGGTGGGTGGAAAGGAGGTACAAAATTGACAATAACAAACTAATGGACGCAAACTGTCTCCCATAAAATGTAATAAAAATATATGTTATGATATTTATAGGGAAAGGCTAAAAGTTATTGCATTTTATCATATTAGCTTGTCTATAAGAAACACAAACGCACACACTATATATACACACTAAAATTATTGTGGGACATTTCAGATCTATAACAGCACTATATTCACTGAAGTCAGCTTGATGATATATAATTTACGCAAATACTGCCATCTAGTGGGTACCTCAATAAACTACATACCATGCAAGTTTGCAAACCACATATTTAGCAAGCTCTGATTCATTTAGTATCCCCCCCCACCCTCCTCCTGAGGTACAGGAGAAAACCTCTCCAATTGTGGCGTTTCAGACAAACCCAAACCTTTACTCTGACAGAAATGAAAGACATATCGGTCTTCGTGAATATGATAAATATTAAATCCATCTCTGAATGCACAATTCCACATGTAAAAAGTTGATTTTATACATTCTCTTCCCTTTCTAGGATACCTGAATCCCTAAATGTCCCTTCAAACGCAGAGCTGATGGAGGACACTGGATATCTACAGTAATATTGTGGTTATTTTATCCTAAGCTATACAAACAAACCACTGCACCACAATTAAAGTGAATTTGTGGTCAAAAATATTCTGAGGTCAAACAGCAAAATGATCTTGTATTGTTAATTTGTAAATATGTTCCACATTTTTTTTTCTTTCACTAAAATAAATAAAACATGTCCAGCTAACCTTGTAGGGTTTAGAGAGGGATAGGCAACCTTCGGCACTCCAGATGTTGTTAACTACATCCCCCATAATGCTCTTACACCCATAATGCTGGTAAAGCATCATGGAAGGTGTAGTCCAAAACATCTGTAGTGCCGAAGGTTGCCAATGTCTGGGCCCTAAATCATCATCAGACAATTTAATAGGACCACTATAGTGCCTGGAAAACAAACTCATTTTCCTGGCACTATAGGGTCACTAGGTCCCCCCCCCCCACCCTCAGGACCCCCTTCAGCCACTTAACTTTCTCCAGCGCCGGGCTCACTCGCCGCTGGTGACCTCTCCTCCCCCTGCCAACATCAGCTCCGAATGCGCATGCGCGGCAAGAGCCGCACGCACATTCAAACCGCCCATAGGAAAGCATTACTCAATGCTTTCTAATGGACGTCCAGCGTCTTCTCACTGTGATTTTCACAGTGAGAATCGCGGAAGCGCCTCTGACGGCTGTCAGTGAGACAGCCACTAGAGGCTGGATCAACCCTATATTTTCAGCTGCAGGGCTAAAATCAAAGGGACCTGGCACCCAGACCAATTCATTGAGCTGAAGTTGTCTGGGTGCCTATAGTGGACCTTTAATGATTTCCTGTTTCCTGCAAAGTGGAATGCTCGGAGTTACTCTGCAAGCCACATGTCTGGATTGACTGCTTACATTACATATGTTCTTTTTTTTTTTAATTATTATTATTGTTTGGTAACTACTGTAACATTCTTATCCTTATTCACAGGACTCTGAATTTTAAATAATGGAAATCAGGATATTCTAAAAGAGCCCCATGTTGTGACTATAACTCAATTATGAAGATTTTCTCCTGTTTTTCCATTTCAAATCGTTAGAATTATTTTATTTACTAAACTATGAATGGTTATGAATTCAAAGTAAATTCAATTAAAATTTTACGTTTTAGACCAAAATAGCCGAATCAATATAACATACATGACATTTTGAGAATATTTCCAATTTAGCTATTTTGGCCTAACATTTGAAATTTATCTTACATTCCCAACAATTCACAGTTTAGTAAATAACTGTGCTTGATTATGGATTTGTTGGGGTGTATTCAAGGTGAATTAAAGTGATATAGACAACTTCATCTCTTTGAAATGGCCTGGGTGCAGTAGCCTTGTCCTTTTAACCTTGCGTTGTTAAACAGTGCATTTTTTTTGTTTTTTTTTAGAAACTGCATTTAAGAAGACAGCCACTGGAGGTGGATTTAAATGAAACAATTTTATTTTTTTTTAACAGGGGAACCATGCCAGCAAGGGTTACTCCATCTGAAAACAGTGTTTTATTAAAATATCAGGGGGTCAGCAACCTATGCTATGTGAGGCCGTCAGACCTAAATGGGCCTACTGGGTAGATCAGACAAGTTCAGTGTGCTCTTCTGCTAGTGCGAGGGAGTTAGTGGTCTGCACCTTCAGGAAGTGCAGACAACTTGTACAATTCACTTGTGATCGGCAATGCTACAGGTTAATATGACAATGCTCAGACTTCCTGAGAAGCCTCAAAGTGGAGGGTAAGTTACAAGTGATTCAAATCAGTGCCTATGACCCATGAACAGGGGCCCTGAAACCATGACTTTCCTTGGCTCCATTAATCATCTCTATTTTGGGCACCAAAGCAGTAACCAGCCTATGAACCTGTTATGGGCCAAATCTTTGGGGGCAGAACACAGTGAACATGGGGGGAGGGAGGCAGAACACATTTAACAACCAGAATCATCCACATCATAAGGAGGCACAACATAATAAATAAAGAGAACTTTGTAGTTAGAGGAACACTGTAGAGCGTAGAATACATTGACCACAGTGAGAAGGAATGTTTAGCAGGGTTGGAGCGGGCTACACTACATTAAACACTATAAACCAGAGAGAGAGGAAATTGTAAAACCAAATGTAACTGTGGTCATCTATAAGGAATAGGATGTCCTACTGATATGAATGCTCAGAATAGGAGGCTCGTAAATACTGAGTATTAATAAAAAAGAGGAACAAGTTACAGAGTGGTGCAATTATGAAAATTTCTCAACTTGTCTAAATGGAAATCAAACCGCTCATGTTGAAACTGGTTTGCTCAGTAAAATTAAACTTAAAATAGAACCGTAGGTGTCTCCCACCTCCTAGGCTCCTTCATCATCTAATTTAAGTGCACCGACCTTGCTAATCCCCAGGCCTGGAGAATACTGCGAGTTAATTGATTTCCACCTCTGCAAGGAAAGTCAGTCCCTGAAAATAATATGTTGAGTTGCTCAATTTCCTTCTTGCTTTCACAAGGTGAACTCTCATTTCCATTTTGTTTATTTTATTTTATTTTTTTAAACTGGTTCCCCGTACTTTGTGGAAACCCCACAAACACATCAAACATTTTCTTTATCCCTCCCATCTTCTGCAACTCCACATACTAAAATAATCTACATTTTGTCATCCTTTCTACCTTTTGACCCAGGCATTACCCTGATCTGTGACTAAGCAATGCTAAATCTTAGTTAGGCATCTATGAATTTCCAGATTTGTGACCTACCACTCTCATCACACGTATCCAGTCATCCTCGTGCTCTGCAATATAGATAGTATAAAGAGAAGGCAGACATTTTATTATAATGTAAACCTAAATGTTATTTGTAATGCAGCCCCTTTTTAGATCTGTGTATGAAACAATCATCGTTTTCTGTGTTATTTACTATAGTGTGATTTGGCAGGATTTCAGGGTTCATTTAACCCCTTAAGGACCAAACTTCTGGAATAAAAGGGAATCATGACATGTCACACATGTCATGTGTCCTTAAGGGGTTAAAGGGAATTTCCAGTTGTTGCTCAAAAATAGTTGAATTAACTGAAATCACAATTTTTAACTCATTTTAAATTCTTGACAGTTCATACTGTTGTTCTGAGTCCTTTTCTCTCACGGTAAAAGTGTGGTCTAACCTTAATTATAGTTCTATTGGGTTTTCACAAACAGCCCAATATGAAGTGATTGTTCACTCATTGTATTGTAGCATTGTGCTTGCATCCACTAGGTGATTGTGGATATAAACCCTAGGTGAGAGTTGAGGTGGTTCTGTATCAGGCAGACAGTGTGGTGAGGAGGTTGTGTATCAGGCAGACAGTGTGGTGAGGTGGTTGTGTATCAGGCAGACAGTGTGGTGAGGAGGTTGTGTATCAGGCAGACAGTGTGGTGAGGTGGTTGTGTATCAGGCAGACCGTGTGGTGAAGTGGTTGTGTATCAGGCAGACAGTGTGGTGAGGTGGTTGTGTATCAGGCAGACAGGGTGGTGAGGTGGTTGTGTATCAGGCAGACTGCGTGGTGAGATGGTTGTGTATATGGCATACTGCATATCAAAATGGTTGCTTATCAGGCAGAATGCTTGATAAGGTGGTTGCATATGAGCCAGACTGAATATTGAAATAATGCTACATTACAGAGACTATATGTTGAAATAAACTTGTATGATGGAGACTTTTGTTGACGTCTCTAGATGTTGAGCTAAGCCTATATAAGGGAGACTGAGCATTGAGGTGAGTGTCAAATCTTGATGTTGAGTTGAAATTGTAACTTAAAGATTGGGAATTACAGAGTTTGGGTTTTATGGTGAGCTTATATCACAAAGATTTGGTGTTGTCTATAACAATATCCTGGGTGTTGGAGTGAGCCTGTATCATATAGCCTGGGTGTTGGGGTGAGCCTGTATCTATAGCCTGGGCATAGGCATGTGCACGGGGTGTGCCGGGTGTGCCTGGGTACACCCTAATCCCCGCGGCATGCCTATGGATTGAATCCCGCAGGAACAGAGTTCCTGCACTTTTTTGAGCAGGAACGCTGTTCCTGCAGGCACTCAGCACCCCCAAATGCCCCCCTTTTCCCCTCGTGTTCCCCCTGTCATGGGGGGGCAAGAGGTGATGGATCCCCCCCCCTTCCCTCCGGGTGCCTGTCTCCATATCAGGCGCAGCAAGGGAGCTGTGTCCTCTCTGTTCTCTCTCACCGCGCGCTGTTTGCTGATGCCAGGAGCCAGAATATGACATCATATTCTGGCTCCCAGCTACTGTAGACAGCCCGCGCGGCGAGAGGGAGCAGAGAGCACACAGCTGCCTCGCTGCATCTGATCTGGAGACAGGCGCCCGACCCATTGTACCCCAGGGACAGGTCCACGCCAGCTCTCCAGGTAGGGAGGCTGGGTGGACATTTTTTAATTTAAAAAAATTATAATTTGTACGTGTGTGTGTTTGTGAATGTATGTGTGTGTGTCTGAGTATGTATGTGTGTGTCTGTCTGTGAGTGTGTCTGTAAGTGTGTGTGTGTGTCTGTGAGTGTATGTGTCTGTAAGTGTGTGTGTCTAAGTGTATATGTCTCTGAATGTATGTGTGTGTGTCTGTGAATGTATGTGTGTGTCTGTGAGTGTATGTGTGTGTGTTTGAGTATGTGTTTGCACTTGTATATATATGTGTGTGTCTGTGTATGTGTGTCAGTGTGTGTGCGCACACACTGACACACATACACAGACACACACATATTCCAGTTAGAACAAACTAACTTTGGTACTTTGCAGTAGAGGATTTCATCTTCAGTAGTTCTCCTGGTGGTATTTTAAAGAAGATGCTGGGCTGTGGCAGCTGTGTCTACAATATTTAATGTGAAGAAGGAGTTATTAAAACTATTAGTTACTTACAAGCACCCAGATTCCATCACAATGCAGGCTTTAATTGGAACAAGCACATCATGACAATGTTTCAGCCATACAGACTTCTGAATACACACACATACAGACTGCTGAATACACACACACACACTGCATTGAGGGGTGCAGTGTATGTGTTTGTGTGTAAGGGTGTGGAGTGCTGTGTGTGTGTGTCTGAGGGGTGCTGTGTGTGTGTGGGGAAGGGGTGCAGCGTGTGTGGGGGTGCTATGTCTGTGGGGGGGAAGGGGTGCTGTGTGTGTGGGTGGAAGGGGTGCTGTGTGTGTGTGGGTGGAAGGGGTGCTGTGTGTGTGTGGGGGGGAAGGGGTGCTGTGTGTGGGTGGTAGGGGTGTTGTGCGTGGGGGGTAGGGGTACTGTGCTGTGTGGGGGTAGGGGTGCTGAGGTGTGTGCTCTGTCCCAATGTTTATTGTATGCTTGTAATGCCCCTGTAAGCACAGTAAATGATTTTAGGATCATTCGGATGGATAAGAGTATTACTTATACGAGGAATCGAGGTGCTGTTGTGTGCATTATCCTTCTGCAGAAGAGGAATTTCTTGAAGAAACGATTGAAACCTTTTCTGAAAATCAATAAACCAACCCTTCTATTGCGCTATTCGTCTGACCAAAAAAGGTAAGTAGGGAAAGGGGGGAGTCCCTTTTATAGGTCTATAGCCCCTCCCACAACTTCAGGCCATGCCTTCCAATATGTGTGTGTGTGTAATGAGCACGGATTGGCCCAGTCTTGTTGCTAGTTGCATACTCATGCACAATAACATATTCAAAGTGAAGAGCGCACCCATAGAACTTCAAAATAAACAAGATCAATTCATTTTTTTTCACTTGTGCAACTGCAGACATTCAGCATTTCAGTACCATTACTAAAATGTCCTTAATAGGCCAAAGTAGTTGTACTGAAACATTGATTACATGCAAATGTACGTCTACTTAAAATAAAGGCGCTCTTTTGTTTACTTTGAAGCCCTATATGCGTTTTTTCGTTGGAGTAAGAGTTTTCAATTTCAAGTTATTTTTTTTACCCTCTATATCAGCACACTATGTTGGCGCGACGCATTATTGGGCTGGTATAGAATTTTGTTCCAGGGCTGTTTTTAGTTCCCAGTCTGGCCCTGTATGCAAATAATTCATAGCTAAGTATAAAGGATGGCTTGAAGATAAAAAGTTAACAGAGAAAGCTCGAAAAATGGCATGATACTGCAGTAAAATTGGCACAGTGTGGCTGTAGAGAAACTACTAGAAGGGGGATACCTATTATCAGTGTTATGGGTCGTTGCATGATACTTCCCCTAAGGAAATTCAGCCCACTCCTTACCCCGAGAAGGCACACAGTACAGATGATAATACAAAAACCCCACAGGTATCCACAGTAAACTCAGTTACTGGACACTCTTATTGGGCTTGCCCCACCTGCCAGTGGAATAAACCTTGGTGGAAAGAGAAGTGCCGTAACTGTGGTTCCCTAGACCCCCACAGCATATGCTTATGCTCATGCAGCTGAAGGGTGGATTGGTGCCTGCCAGTAGTGGCTCAACTGTGGATATGGACCAATCTTGTGCTAGTGGAAATGATGCCCCTGGTTGGGTGTCAACCCCTCAATTAAGCCAGTGGTGGGAGTATAAACTATTGTCACCCTCAGACCAGCTGGCCATGTTAAAACAATTACCCAACGCTGAGGACTCTCCAGTGCTCCTTGTAAATACCCTTGAGCATATTAGAGCCACTTATAATTTCACTTGGGGTGATTAAGAATCACTGGTCCGTGCTAAAGCCGGTCCAGTCATGGCCAGGTTAATCAAAGATACTACTGATGTTGAAAAGGGGATTTTACAAGCTGCCCTACATGACAGAGACCAACAGTGGTTTTTGAGACAATATGATTCTGGTGAACCTTACATTAAAGCCTTAGAAAAATGGGCGCAGTCCAGGCTCACCGACCTTTCATCCCAACCCAGAGATCTTACCCAAGAGAATGGAGGAATCAGTTGAATTTGTTTTTGCCTGTTTCTCGGATATTCAGAAAGGTAATCGAAGTCCACTAGCCAGCTGGTTGACTGTTTTATGGATGGTTTGCTTCACCGACTCAGCGCAGCCCTTAAAATAGCTAGATCTGAGTGGTGTAGCCCAACTTATTCTGACCTTGTAAAAACTGCTGAAGGTATTGAAGTCAACCACCATCCTTCTTGAGATAAACCAGCAGGTGCCACTAGACTAATGGTAAATCAAACGTCATGGGGCCCCCACCATTCAAATCAGAGTCAGCGTAGTGGTCCTGTATGCTGGAATTGCAATAAAATAGGACATATCAGGAGAAACTGTCCCCTAGACAAAATTAGCAGTGTCAACAATCCATCTCAGATAATCCTAGCCAAGATCAGACTCCTCAGAATGCAAATCCTTCCGCTGCCCCATAGGATAGTGACAACACAGTGTCCCTGCCCTCTATTGTTCTGTCTAATGGCTCAGGTCCTACACCTATTGTAAATGTTACCTTGGCCGGTAACAGAAAAATACTCTTTCTTTTAGACACTGGGGCAGTCCGTTTTGTTGTGCAGGAAAAATATGTTTTTCCCTATGAAAAATCAAATTATGAATTAACATGTGTGGGGGTGGGTGGGACTCCGACTGACATTCCTTTGTCTCACCAAATTAAACTTAGGCTTCATGACTCAACTGCCTTGGTGACTAAATTGCTTGTCCATAAGAAAAATTCACAGGCATTCCAAGCTTGAGAAAGACCTCTTTTAGGTCGAAACGTTGCTGTGTATTTTGTTGCAATAAACCTGCCTGCGGCTTTCACATTTAGAGTGTCTGTGAATTTTTCTTATTGCCTTATCGTGTTGGGATTGCTGATCCTGTTCCAGAGCACCGTGGCTGCTGGGGGTGAGTGCGGTTCCTGCGACCAACCTTTGCTACATTGCTTGTCAGTCCCACTGCTCCTGTAAATCTACTTGGCAGCGATATTCTATCTGCCATAAATGCCAACATACAGTTCAGCCCCACTAGTAACGTGACTTTGCCCCTTGAAGCTAACTGTCTCATATCACTTGCCAGTGTGCTGGCAAATTTTCATTTGTCCAGCCCTATGACAGAGCCTACTCCTGACTTGACAACAGTCCCTGGCTCTTTGTGGACACAGGGAAAGACAGATACCAGATGACTTGCTGTCCCTCCTGTACAGGTTAAGTTGTTGCCGAATGCCACCCCACCTTGCCTTAAGCAATACCCTCTCAGCCCAGCCCAAGAAGATGCTATCACTCAATCCATCCAGGATTTATTCCAGGCTGGCATAATTGTACCTACCACCTCTAACTGCAATACTCCTCTGTACCCTGTTAAAAAGAAACAGGAGAAAGGCAAGCCAGTGGTATATCCCATGGTGCTGTTAATGCTGTAACTGAATGAATTGCTCCTAATGTTCCCAACCCTCATACATTGCTGTCACAAATTCCACCCTCCTCTAAGGTGTTTACCGTCATTAACTTGGCAAACGCATTCTTTTTTGTACC